GGGATGGGGAGAGATGAGAGCAGATGCGTCGCCGAGAGATGCAATGAAGAGAACAACGACCCAGGGTCAGAATAAAAAAAGGCCAGGAAAAGAAAGACGATATAGCCGAGTCTGAAAAAGTATCAGACGCAACGAATGTCGATTCGTTTAATCGTCTGCAGCAGCCTCGCCCGATTCACCCTTGTCCTCTCCCTTGTCTATACGAAGAGTCAATTACGAGTAATGAAAATGAATAAAAACTACTGACCACCTTCCTGCATGTCACTCGTCCACAAGGTCAAGTTGTCACGGAGCAACTGCATAATGAGGGTCGAGTCCTTGTAGCTCTCCTCCGACAGTGTGTCGAGCTCGGCAATGGCATCGTCAAATGCCTGCTTGGCAAGATGGCAAGCACGGTCGGGCGAGTTGAGTATTTCATAGTAAAAGACGGAAAAGTTGAGGGCGAGACCGAGGCGGATGGGGTGTGTGGGTGGAAGCTCAGTGACGGCAACGTCGGACGAATTGGGAATGGTCAGAGTGCCACTCACTTCTCTGCATCCCGTCATAACCCGCGACCCGACGCAATGGATTCACTGTACCCAATCAATAGTTTGTCTATTCTGTCATTGATGGGGCTTGCTCAAAAGGTCAGGCAAAATTGGAGCCCGCGTGACATAAATGCCCAAACTGCGACGTAATTGGTATGCACAAGTCTAAAGTATGATTATGTTGCATTGAGTTTCTGTTTTAGGGACAATTTCGTGAACGCTAAATCATCAAGTCGATGGCAGACTCCAAATCTTGACCGTTACATCTCCTCGTAATTCCTCAATTCAGGTAACCCTATTCCTCAGCTTCTTTAGAAAATTTCTTTGGCTCCATCGTTATTGGATACTTCCATAGGCCACTGAGTTCGCAATCCCGGATAGTCCCAATGTACGTGAAATCCGTCGTAAACTCCCGCTCCCTCCTATTTTTGATATCCTTGCGTCTCTCGAGAGTCTTTCCATTGAGCCTAAAAAGTGGTGCCAACTCTTGATCGTCTTTCACCGTTGGAACAATCTTCAAAGCCTCGTAATCAGCTGGAGATGGTGCCTCTCCAGTCCTATAGGCATCATAGATCTCGTTTACGGAGGCTTGAACGGCATCGATGCAATAATCCTTGTTCTCTTTATCCCTTTCGTCGAAGATGTACTTGTCGCCATACATACGCCATGACTTGCCGTCTTGATTCGATACATTTAATCCAATTGCACTGTCTTCATTATGCATATACTATAGGTAAGTTAGAACCGATTCTATATGAGATGAGGTACTCAACAAACCATGGCACACCAATTCGACAATATATTCCCAGAAAGTTCTTCACGTGGGACACGGAGGTGACCAGCAGAGAACAAATCTTGAAGGAAATGGTCGGCAAAGGCGGGATGGGGAGAGATGAGAGCAGATGCGTCGCCGAGAGATGCAATGAAGAGAACAACGACCCAGGGTCAGAATAAAA